ACTTTTGGACGTCGCGATGTCGAAAAAGTGCACGCCGTTGTGGCGCGAAGCACATTTCCAAGTCAAAATGTACAAAGCACACCACGTTCGGACCACTTTTGGACGTCGCGATGTCGAAAAAGTGCACGCCGTTGTGGCGCGAAGCACATTTCGAAGTCAAAATGTGCAAAGCACCAAATGTTCGCGCCACTTTTGGAGTTTGGAGGTTCAGATGTCGTTTCGCGTGGCAGGTGCAAGGGATTGTGCACCTTGTCAAAAGTGACCAAAACGTGAGGGTTTTGTAGCATTTCCAAGAATGATGGCAGGCATGGGACATTTGAAGAGGATCTGCAAAGATGCATTTTCGTGGCAGGTACAATACAAAAGACATGTTCATGAGAGATGTTAGGAAGTCAGGGCGCTGATTTCCAGAGAGGGGTTGCATTTTGGAGTATCAGATGTGCATGTTTGCTAAGATGATTTTGCATGACAGGCGCAGCACTTCGTATGACCTGGCATCAATTTTCCGTGGCAGGCGCAGTACTTTAGACAGGTGGACTGGAAAAAACGCAAAACGCATTGGCACGAGTCTGTCAGCTCTGCACTCAACTTTCCATTTTGGAAGGACGTCTCGCAGAATTCTTCGGTTTTGATGTCTTTTACTTCGAAACATGAAGAAGTCTCGCAGAATTGCTTCGTTTCGGATGTTGTCAAGTTCAAAAAATGAAGACGTCTCGCAGAATTGTTCCGTTTTGGACGTTCTTATGTTCAAACATGACGGAAGTCTCGCAGAATTTCTTTGTTTTTGATTTTGCAGATAGACAGATAGACAGACAGATAGATAGATAGATAGGTAGGTAGGTAGATAGATGGATAAATAGATAGATGGATAGATAGATAGATAGATAGATAGACAGATAGATAGGTACATAGACAGATAGATAGACAGATAGACAGATAGATAGAGAGACAGTTTTGAGGGATAGATAGATGGAGAGATAGAGAGATTGAAAGAAAGAAAGAAAGAAAGACAGAAAGAAAGAAAGATAGATAGATGGCTAGATAGATGGATAGATTGGTAGATAGAAAGGCAGATAGACAGATAGACAGCTACACAGATAGACAGATGAAAGAGAGAGAGAGAGAGATAGATAGATAGATAGATAGATAGACAGACAGATAGATAGATAGATGGATGGCTAGACAGACAGATAGATAGATAGATAGATAGGTAGATAGGTAGATAGACAGACAAATCGAGAGAGAGACAGCTAAATAAAAAAAAAGACAGAAAGATAGATGGATAGATAGGGAGATAGATAGGTAGATAGATAGATAGACAGACAGATAGATAGATAGATAGACAGATAGATAGATAGATAGATAGATAGATAGGGAGATAGATAGGTAGATAGATAGATAGATAGATGGGGGGATAGATAGACAAACAAATAGATCAGTAGGTAGGTCGGTAGATAATCAGAGAAAGATAGAGAAACAGAGAGAAAAAGAGAGAAAGAAAGAGAAAGAGAGGAGACCTCAACCACCTTTCAGTCCATCAGTGGCTTTCCTCTGCCATCCCGGATTCACAACAACCAACCTCTCCTATAGGTTTCCTATTTTTGAAACTTCCGCCACCGCCTTGTGCGGTACTACTGGTAATTACCGTGGTGGGGTTCCACTCTGGCTGCAGAACGGCTGCAAATGGCGCTATGCTTACCTGCCATATTTCTGCGCTAGTGATGCAACTGGACACGGCAGTGGGATGACTGTGACATACCGCCAGTGGGAGTCGCACCGGCCACGCCGTTAGCACTGCGCCTGGCCAGGCGTTTTTGTGCTTTTTACCCAACAGGAAGCGCTCTAAGAAGGCCTAGACTCTTCGCCGCTTTGGGTCGGCCTCTTCGATTTCTGGATCCTGGAGCAGCATCTACAGATTCAGCAGAGCCCACAGGGTTTGAGGGTTGAGTCCCATGCTGCTGGGAAAAAGCTTGAAGAACACAGCTGCTCGCGAAAAACAATCATTGAATAAAATCAAAAAATCGACCAAATCATTGACTCAGCGCCTTGCCATCGGCAGATTGTGAGAACCAAGTCTTTTGTTCAAGAATGTTCTGGACCAAAGGCGGGCAGCTTAACTGATGTTCTGGAAAACCGAAGCAGAACCTGTTTCAACAGCTCAGGCGTTTTAAATAAAAGTGGTACACCGCTAGCATCACCAGGGATAATCAAAAGGTTGGTCCCGGCCGCAACCCCAGACGCACAAACTCAGATGATGATGGTGATGATGATGATGATGATGACGATGATGATGATGATGATGATGATGTTCATGATAATGATGATGTTCATGATAATGATGATAATAATTCATTCATGACGGCTGCTGCTGCTGCTGATGGTTATAATTTGGTGCTAATGTTGCGATGCAGCTAGTGCAAATTCAAAGAAGTGATCAAACCTACAGTTTTAACGCGTTTCACTTGCAAATGCGTTTCTTGCCACAGCGAACAAAATGTAAAGAATAACAAATGTAAACGTGGAAAGCACCAACGCAGAAAGCGCAAAGGCGGCCAAATAGAAAAACATTACCAGCATCGAAAAACAGCAAAACACTGCTAAGACAAGAAAAAGGCCAACAGAAAAGGCAATAAAAGAAATCCAACAGAAAAGGAAAAGGCCAACAAAGCAAGGAAGCAAGCAGCAAAGAAGCCAATGAGCAGAAAAGCAAAGTAGCAGATAAGCAGGAAACAGCATGAAAAAGCAGACAAGAGCTTCAAAAGACATGCAAATGCAAGAAAACATGAAAAAACATAACTGATTGTTTCCTTAATCCCCAATTCTCTCATGAACCCGTCCAGCACCAGACCACTACAGGAGGCCTCGAGTCTCCGTTTGGTGCCACGCGGCAACACCTTTCTCCGTTCTCGCAAGTACTTCTCTTTTGCCGCTTCATCTCCTGTGCGCCATCCAGCCGTCACCACCCATGTGATCCCGTTGCCCCTCCAGCACCTATCTCTGTGTAGAACCTCTGGTACTGGTCCGCCGTGAGGAAATAGGCGTCTCCAGGCTCCAGGAATACGAGGTAGTTTCCCACCCTCAGCATGTACTATGTCCGTTTCAATTCCCAAACTGAAGTGGTGACCTAAAAAGATTCACAGGCAGGTGCACTTTAAAATGCCTCAAGAACGTGGTGCAAAGTGTGGTGCATGGATTGTTGGCCCTCCAAACCTATGCCGGGGGGGTTCATACGGAACTCAACTCAATACATTTTGTAAGGGAAATCTGAACGGGATCTGTGATGATCATTTGGCATGCTAGGTTCCCTGTGGAATGAACGGCGATCCGTGTTTTGCACAAAATGCCTCTGATCTAAAATGCCTTGTGGCTTAAGCATTTCAACCCAGCACGCGGACTCGAATCAAGTACTCTAAACCGAGATTGGATTCCTTCTACATTACATACATACATACATACATAGATAGATAGATACATTACCTTACCTTACCTTACCCTACCCTACCCTACCTTACATTACATTACATTACATAACATACATAACATACATAACATACATAACATACATAACATACATAACATACATAACATACATAACATACATAACATACATAACATACATAACATACATAACATACATAACATACATACATACATACATACATACATACATACCTACATACATACATACCTACATACATACATACATACATACATACATACATACATACATACATACATACAGACAGACAAACAGACAGACAGACAGACAGACAAACAGACATAGATACATACATAACATACATAACATACATACCATGCATACATCCATACATACATACATACATTCATACATACATACAAACAAACATACATCCATGCATGCATACATACATAGATAGATGGATATATAGATAGATAGATAGATAGATAGATAGATAGATAGATAGATAGATAGATAGATAGATAGATAGATAGATAGATAGATAGATACATAGATACATAGATACATACATACATACATACATACATACACACATACACACATACACACATACACACATACATACATACATACGTACATACATACCTACCTACATACATACATACACACAAAACATACATAACATACATAAAATACATAGCAAAACAAAACATGACATAACACAACATAACAACACATGACATGACATAACATGACATAACATACATACATAACATACATACATACATACATACATACATACATACATACATACATGCATGCATGCATGCATACATACATACATACAATTTCATTCCATTCCATTGCATTCCATTCCATTCCATTCCATTACATACATACTAACATTACATTACATTACGTTACATTACATTACATTAAATTACATTACATTCATACATACATACATACATATATATATGTATGTACACAGGGGATTTCCCCGATATACTCTGTATACACCGATGCAAAATATAAACATTGACCGTATCTGAATATGCAGAATATGCTTGATATGCAAGACATATCAAAAAAAAAACACCCTATACATAAGCACTCCTGTTTTCCATTCCGTGCTTCAACTTGACATCATCCCTGAATACTGTGAGATTTAGACGCCCCGTTTCGGTGGTTCTTTCCAGTTCCTCAAGCCAAAGTGGCGGCTTGCCCCAGTTCTCAGCCCAACAATTGTTTAAAATGACTTAGGCAATTTAAATATATAATTCCTGTCAACATTATTCTTTTAAAAAGCCGCACACATGCAAAGATATTTACTGTAAATAAATGTGGGTTTAATATGAATAAAAAAGAGCTATGATATACCAAACATACATACATACATACATTATATATATATTATGTTTGTATGTATGTATGCATGCATGTATGTATATATATATATACAGGTAGATAAATAAACAATATCAATCTATTCTGACATGCGCCTAAATATTCCATCCCCAAATATCTGTGAAGTTCTCCCCCATGTCTCCCACTTCACCTTCACCAACGGGGGCAGCGGGGCATCCGGTGAAGCTTTTGCTCGGATCAAATGCCGCATCATGGGGAGATCTCCGGACAACGTGGCGCATGCCAGGCCGGTATAACCTGGGGAGGGCAGACCCTCAGAGACGACGTTTGGCATGGTGAATATTGGTTAATTCAAATAAATAACATTGGATGAACAACGGGTGAATAATTGCTAATGGGATTTTATCGGATGTCGCCCCCAGAAATCAAACATTGCAATGGAACATACCCCATTTAGTTCGATGATTTTCCAATTAAAACCTCAATCTTGGGGAATTTTCCATTGCTATGTTTGATTACCAGAGGGTACATCCATTTATCACAATTTACTGTCTAATTTTGAGCGTGCGATTCCGCATGGACCTCGACGACGCCTCTCATCAGTGTGCATCGATTTTCCATGAAAAACATGCAGGTAAACCATGTCCATTTATCTAACCTTCATAACCATGCCGGAAAAAATATCAATTTTATCAATGAGAAAAAACAAGCATGCTGGGCAATGCTATGACGTATTTTGACGTGTTATCACTTGTTCATTTACCAAGAATCATCTTAGTGGTGCCTTTGGCATAGGATTTAACATAAACTCCCTACCACGAGATCTATACTAATATCTAAAAAAACATTCAAATGCGCATCTGTTTTTGATTGCGGGGGTTTCCCTTCATACATGAGCCATCCAGTACGAAAGGACAGCATGCAGGTGGTCAACAGCCCTGTTGAGCCCACCCACTTCACTTAGAGCAGCCTGCAGGTGCTATAGCATCTTTCAATGATGGAGAGCGGAAGAAGGAAAGAAACTCCTGCGACTTGATTCCGAATTTCAGAATGGCTGAGGATAGGCCGAAACGGCCGAAATCCCTGTTGAACCTTGGGAATTCTTGGTGTGGGCTATCGGACTGCGGCTGAATGGAATTGTCCACAACATTGACAATCTTCAAGAAGTAAGTGATCAAAAAAACACATGAATAAACATGAATCACATTAGCACATATTGTATCACACCCGCACACGCATATATATATATATATAGTTATAGTTATAAGTATATATTAAACACAAAGACACAGATATGTATATATATATATATATATCTATACATATATAGATAGATATCCGTGTACTCTCCAGCAAATTAACATAGACCCTGCGAGATAGGGGTTGGAAAATCAGTTTCCACTACAAATCAGTTCATCTCTTTTCATCAACTTCTCTATGGATCCGGGGAGGGTTTCCCCCAACTCCTGAGCGCTCCCCTCTCTCTCGGTCCTGAACCGACCTCCTGGCCGGTGGCTGCCCAGTGAAGCCCTCCTGTACGATGTGAGGTCTAATCAGGGATCCCCAAATATCTGACGGTTGATATTGGACGATGCTGATGCTGATGCTGATGCTGATGCTGATGATGATGATGATGATGATGATGATGATGGCGATAATGATGATGATGATGATGAAGATGATGGTGATGATGATGATGATGATGATGTTCTCTGCTATATGCATATTATTTATATCAAATGACCATATGTGATCCTGATGTTTTCCATTTCAAACAGTAATGGCCATAAACATCCATAAACTGCGTTGAATAATCGTCATGTTCCCCATGGAGACAAATGGCGAATGGGCATCATACATTGCGGTAAATCCTCCATTTTTGCTGGGCACGGTTCTTAAGGCGTCCAGTTCACAATGACCACCAAGATGCGTCAAACTCCCACTCCACCCCACAGGCATCCGTCCCAAGCACGTCTTGCCCAGTCATCATAATGCAAAACAATCTGGCAAACCCAAGGAAGCCCAACAATCACCAACCCCCAAAACACAGAAAAAAAAGGAATCACAATTTTTGAAACATCTCTAATTCAACCACAAACATTTATCCCCACTTTTTTCCCAAGAATCACTCTATGAATTTCCTCAAAATTCCCCCAGGAAATTCCCCAGCCATCAGTCCCATCCTGGCAGGCCGCAAAGTAGCGATACTGTGCCAGCTGAGCTCCAGCTGCACGCGACATCAGCTTCCCCAGCAGCGCCTTGCGCGACATCTCGGAGACCGCTCTGCGGTCCGCCTCCACTGTGAAGTCTGCCTCGTGCGCCACCTTCCTGGAGTCTGTACCAAAAAGGGAGGTGGACAGTCCAACAGAAATAGGGATGTATTGGATGATATTGGGCGATATTGGATATAGATTTGGATATCAGGTATGTGATTAGAAATATGTAATATGTGACATGTGTTGATATTTGTTAATTTATGTGTACATTGTGGATTTTTCATCAAGCCTCATCTTATCATCTTGGTGTAGTTAAAAGGTGTCAGTATGTGCCGGCTAAGATATCCAAAGCACATGGGGCTCATCTACGTTTCAGCTTGTGGCAAAAGTCATGGCTAAAGGGTGTCAGACAAAGCTTTCCAACGGATATATAGATGGGTTTTCCGGTGTTCATCTTCGTGGTAGTTCAAAGGAGAAGAGGTTCTGAGAAGTTGTGGCCGCTAGGGCCAAAACAAGAACCACTAGATTATGATAGGCATGGAGGTTGTAGGGATCAATACACACACATGTATATATATATAAATAATAAATAAAAGAATAGATAAAATAAATGAATAAATAAAATAAATAAAATAAATAAAATAAATACAATAAATAAAATAAATAAAATAAATAAAATAAATAGAATAAATAAAATAAATAAAATAAATAAAATAAGTAAAATAAATAAAATAAATATATATATATATGTATATGTATATATATAGGGTTCATCAGCCTGACAAGCCAATGGTTTCTGTTGGTGAAACCAACTCTCAGCTGGCAGCGCGCCTGTTCCAGTTGAAAGGAAACAAGAACTCGGCCTTGTCTTCAGACTCTATGACAATCATGGGGATGTCTGATGCTTCCTGACAAATGCTGAAGGGAATTTCTGAATCCCTTGGTCGAGGTCCCTCATCCGACAAAACATCTGGTGAAGGATTCCAAGAAGGATTAATCATTCAATATCATTCATGTATGATTCTTTGATTTTGTTATTTTACCCATTGTTGTGCGCTATGCAGGCAGAATCTCAATATCAACCATGGAGACGTAGGCCCGGCAAGCTGCGGGAAAAAACGGTTTGATTCACATGTGATGCTGATGCTGGTGAGTGCTGAGAGCCTTCACCCATTTTCACATGCCAAGGCTTTCAATTTCTGGCATGTCATTGGGGCACCAAATGGCACACCAGTACATTCAAATGCGTTGTTCTTTTATGCGTAGGTTTTCTCCCGTAGCTTGAAGTCAAAGCCGGTGTTGGTTGGTGAGAGATCCCTCAGTGTGTTAAACTTCCCCACCGAGCCACAGACAAGACCTTACACCACATCTCTGCACGGCACCAGCCTGCCAGCCCCAATAAATTGGATGAAGGGGAAATGTGTGGTTGAAACATGTTGAAACTACCACATTTACAGTCCCTTACAATAATCCATTGAAACTCACATTCAAACGTGTTTGTCACACAAAGTCTACCAGCTTCCTTCCCCCATAGAGGAATTTACCAAGAAGTCAAGATGACTTTTGATTAATCCAAAGAAAAAGAGTATGAATCTTCCACTGAATCCACTGAGGTGTGCATTAACACAACAAATCAGCAATCCAGTGATACCACCAACCGCGAACCTCGATCCAGCCAAGTGCTGTAGTTGCACACAGTCCCTCGATCCTTTAGAGGCTGGAACAAGGGGGTGGGTGCTGGGACCACAGAAATGGGGTAGACCCCAGAAATGCATAGAATTGGCTGTTGAATCTATTTGAGAAGGACACATATGATGGCAAACGGCTTTGGGGCATACTCCAAGTTTCTTCAACTGTCACTTCAACTGCGCCTCAACAGTCCCCCCTGCAGCTCAGTATCGGCGTGAAGCAGCCGGGGGACCAAAGCCACAAACACCTGGCACTTCTCCACATAACTGGGGATGGATTTCACCTGGAAGCGAAGCAAAAAAGTCAGGGAGGTGACGTGGATCAAACGGAAATGGGGTACACATATGGCAGAGGGTCACAACCAGAATCATCCATAATTCTAGGATTCTAGAGGCAACATTCCCATATTCAGAAAATCTTCGCATACCTTGTTTTCATCGTACTCCAGACCTGGGTTTTGGTATGTTACTATGATAGGCATTTCAGCTCAATCTGGAGGGAATAGTTGGGCCATGGCGAATCCACTGAATGCCCCTCCCAACTTTGGATGAATTGAAGGCAAGGCTGCTTTGATAAGGGAGTTTCCTCATTTGTCTACCGAAGAAGGACAGGGTTGTCAAAGGTAACGTTTAAAGGTTGGCTGAATAAAAATTTGGCCAGTTTCTTCCCAAGGTGAACTCGGAAAAATAGAACCCTCTGGTGTGGCCCTGGAAGTTTGGGCTGGCCTTTGGGATTGGGATTTTGGTTCTGGCCCCGAAATTTCCCTATGCGGTCTCTATACCAGCCACGCATACGCGGAATTCTTCGCCTCTTCGCGTTCCACAAATTCTTCGCACTCCAGCGAGGGCATCGCACTCCACAGCTAGGGAGGTACACATACTGTCAAACCATCGCGCTCGGCAAGATCTGCGCACTCCATAAAATCTTCGTACTCGGTGAATGAAACGTTTTTTACGTTTTTATTCCCCACCTGCCAGGTGAGGGTTGTTAGATTTTATCAGAGCTGTTCTTCCGCCTCCTCCTCCTCCTCCGCCTCCTCCTCTTCCTCCTCCTCCAGTTTCTCCTCGTCCTCCAGCTTCTCTTCCACCACCTCTGCATCCACTTCCATGTCCACTTCCGCCTTGCCAACTCTTCGCCAATCTCTTCGCCAACTTCTGTGGCAGTGGGCGCAGCTGGACCTCAACTGCCGGCTTCCGATCTGAGTGGGCACAGCTGGACATCAACCGCCAGGTTCTGATCGCAGTGGGCACCGCTGGACCTCAACCTGGGACCCTCAGAGCTCTTCGCCAACTTCCGTGGGCACTGCTGGACCTCAACTGCCGGCTGCCGATCTGAATGGGCACGGCTGGACCTCAACCGCAAGGTTCTGAGCGCAATGGGCACCGCTGGACGGAGATTCCGAGGCTAGTGGGCACCGCTGGACCTCAACCGGGGACCTTCAGAGCTCAGTGGGCACCGCTGGACCTCAACCTGGGACCTTCCGAGCTCAGTGGGCACCGCTGGACCTCAACGGCCAGATAGAATGCCAGAAGATATGCCAGATAGAACGCCAGATAGAATGTCAGATAGAATGCCAAGAGGTATGCTACATAAAGTGCCAGAATGTTTGCCAGATTTTGCCAGATAGAACGCCAGAAGATTTGCCAGATAGAGTGCCAGAAGATATGCCAGATAGAATGCCAGATCGAATGCCAGAAGAGACGTCAGATAGAATGCCAGAAGATTTGCCAGTAACAAAACGTAATGTCATGGTGGGGATTACTCGAAGGAAAGTATTTTTGTTTTCGTTTTCTTGGCTAAAATTGCCTGGAATGACGTATTCTGGAATATTGGGAAGATGGAGTTCCCACCTGAGACGTCCATACTATCGCATTCCAGGCCATTTTGGCAAAAAACAGGAGTCCAGCAGCTCAGCAGGGTGAGTGTGATAAATTTCTGGTATGTGATGAAAAACAAATGGTGTTGGATCCATGGGGAAGGTCGAAGGGGGCCACACATACTGTTTTATTTTCGCATTCCAGATAATTAGCGCACTCCAGGGGTGGCATCGTACTCTATCGGTGGAATTATTTTGCACGGAAGAAAACAGGATCGTCGATGATTTGTGTTCCCAGATTCTGTGTGCAGAGCTCTTTGCGGGGCCACAAAGATGTCAAGAAAGATGGGGAAAGCTTATGAATTGGGCTTTGAGATCCTGAAAAGTGTAGACGACAAATTCCCATAAGAACATTATCAATCTATTTTTGGAAAGCTCAACATTATTATGACATTTCCAGAAGTTGTTGAAAGTAACGATCTTCTTTGGGGAAGAACATGTGCAGTCGACAACGTACGAGAAGAAAAGGAGCACTTGGCAAACTGTATGAAATACAAATTTCACCTGAAAGGGGTCTTGGCAATTTCCTGAAATTTCCCAGCTATTTTGGTATGGAATATGTTCAGCCCTGGAATATGGGCAAGAAATTGCTAGAATAATCCCGATCCAATAGGTTTTTGGCTGAACATCCAGTTGCACGCTATTTTCAGGTGACCCACAAACATGTTGAATGGCTGGGCGCTGTTGAAGAATCCTTAATGGTAAGAAAGACTGAATGTGTCTCACCTCCCATTGGTTTCATTTTGACTTGGACAGCGGTGAAGCTCTTAAAACCATTGCAGCATCACATCCGGGAAAACAAACATCTTTTGAAATTCAGGGACTTAAGGAGCCTTTTCCCACCTTGATCCTACCTGGCGGTTTCAACCCTTAAGAATACTAGTCCGAGTCCATTGGAATCAGGATCCTGGTTATGAAGAAAATACATTCTTGTTTTTGGCAGGCGGTTGATACGAAGTACTGTGAGGGTGTGTCTCTTTTTGCGAAATCTGATATATTGGGTACCCACGTTCGTCATCGGGTCGTATCAACTGCCTGCCGTAGAAATGTCATCTCCTTCAATGTTGTTGGGGTGGGGTGGGCTAAAAAACGTTCATGTACAATGCACACTTGCGTACGTAGGGAATGCTACGCTCTGACACGTTCATGTACATCTGCATACTTACGGAATGCTACATTCTGACAAGTTCATGTGCACTGGGGTGGCGTTCGGTGGGCTTATTGCGTTTATGTTTTTTTTGCCGACCCTCGATCACAAACTTAGTATTTCGCTGTGGCGATATACTTATGTCGCAACAAACAGTAACTAAACCATTGTATAATCATATAATATCAAATATATGTATAATTATATGAATACATGCGCGTCATTCATTCGTCTTATTTTCCAAAAATCTCAACAACCAACCAAACATGTGTGAAAGCAAATTCTGCCAGGTGGCACAAAGGCATGTGTCATCTGCAAACTCATGTTCGTCTGCATGGGGTTCCCGCGAAGCTATCTGCGGCACTGAGAACCAATCAAACCAAACATACCTTGGATCCAGAGGTTGATTCCAGGGAAAAGTCCCATGAGACCATGGTTTTTAACCCCATTGGATATCAAGTTTCCTAGATGTTGTTCGCCTTAAACCATTTCTGGGATGAAGGAAACCACTTTTAAAAAAACATGAAACAGCAAAATGTTTGGTGACGCCTAAACAACCGGCGAGAATAACTAATTGAGTCGCTGGCAAAACTGAACCTTTCGTTCCAAACCCAGATATATAGACAAATAACTTCTGTGAATGTCTGTGTGGGTTCAGGGTTCTGGAGGCTTGTGATTGCGTGCAAACTTTGTCAATATATCGGCTGATGGAAGAAACAAATAACTACAGTAAGTAGCACTGTGTACTCAACCAAACTGAATACATGACAAGAAAACACCAGGGTTCTGTCCCACACCAACCCTACTTTTGGCCGTTGGGTTTCATAGCTCGAGAGATCACCATCAACCACAAATTGTTGCACTTTTTGCCCAATGTTGCCGATGTACCCATTGCGAATGCGATCCCTCTCCGCACGAGATAAGCGCATCGTTCCAAAGCGAAGTTGGGCGGAAACGTCACCCTCCACCGACATGCTTCCATCCACAACCTTCTTCAAAGCCGCCTGGTGAATCATGGCCCAAATGGAAAACAACATATGTTGACAATTTGGCATATATATATATATATCTATTCACGCAAACACAGAGTCATTATGAGCCATTCCGTATAGGCACACAGATTAGATTAGGTTAAATTAGATTAGGTTAGATTAGATTATATTTAAATCATCTGGATCGGGTTGGACTGAATTAGGATTAGGACTAGATTACATGAGATGAG